TATTATTGTCGTTGACTCCGTCAATGCAGCAATCTTTAGTCTATAAAACCCCTGTTGCGAATCGTAAAGGTGGAAAAATTTCATTTTAGGCCTTGTAGGTTGTTGAAACTTCGTTTTTTTTTAATAAAATTTGAAGGACATTTGCGATTATGATAGAAAAAATCTACAACACAAACTTTAAGATGCTCGAAGTTACTTTACAACTGTAGTACTTAACCATCACTTAGTTTATATTTATGTTGATAACGTAAATGTTTTACATTATTTCTCAGCTTAAACTTTATCGTTTCGTGTAGGTGACGTAGCTAATTCTATTTTCCCGATGACGTGTATTTAACGAGGACCATGTTGTGAAATGTAAGTCCAACCTGAGTTTCATGAAAACCCAAAAACAGGAAAGCAATGATGGCAACGTTGATGATAATTATGGAGGATTTCAAGGACCAATGATCCATGACTTAAAGAAAGAGTTTACAGACAATAAACACACTGTTGAGAAGGTGTACTATGTTGGTCAACATGATTATAATGTGTTTAATGTTCAAAACCAACAACTGTTCTTACTGTGAAAACTTTTGATCTACTAAGAAAGTCAAACTATTAAAGGTCAGTACTTGTACATCTAACTTTAAACAATAAACAAGACTTTGTTGAATGCTTATTTTTATGTGAAAAAACACTTGAGAAAAACGACGATTTTTTTGAAAGCAAACATGTTTCGACATTATCAGAATGCCATCTTCAGTGCAGAATGGTTAGTGTTAAGTAATATGATACGTAATATGATATGAATAAATTAATTACAATGAATAGGATTATGATTTAGTTACAAATTATAAAATATTTACAAAAAAGGAAAAGAAAAATAAGTATTAAGAACTTATAACAAAAAATATTATTATAAAGTAAATATAGTGTTGCAGTGGTGAACTTGGATATTTAAATCGGGATTAGTTTTATTAATGTGTAGAGCTTCCTTGATTTTGAGTGAGAAAGTGGATTGATCAGTGTCGATGATTTTAAAACAGGAAGGTGAGAATTTGTTTTTACATGAAGGAGAGGCTTGAAGATGTTTGTAGATAGTGGAGTTTTTGTCTGTGTGAGTATGTTCCTTTATCCTGGTAGATAATTGGCGAGAAGTTTCACCAATATAACGGGAATTACATCCCGCACATGAAAATTGATAAACTACCATAGATTTGGAAAGTTCGGGAAGTGGGTCTTTAAACGAAAATAAAGATTTTATTTTAAAAGGTGTGAAAATAAGTTTAACGTCAATGTCAGTGCAGTAGCGTTTAATGATTTGTGTGAGTTTACGTTGTGTGTGTCGTGAGTAATCACCTATGTAAGGTAGTTTGAAATAACGTTTATTGTCAGGTTGTTGTATATCGTTACTGTTAGTTGTAGAGTTAGATGAGTCAGTGCTTTTCTTGTTGTCCAAATAGTGTTGTATAGTGTTGTTGATGAAATGAAAAGAAAAAGAATTACGTTGGAGAGTGAATATTACTTTCTTTAAATCACGTTGAAAGCCGATGTCTGTGTTGTTAAGTTTCCGTGCTCTGTCGGTCAGTGCTCGTATGAAACTAAAAAGTGTAGTTAGGCCTGTATGTGTTTGTTAAAAATAGTTTTAGTTCTTGTATATGTTCATTTTGTATGTAGAGGTTGTTGGTAAAAGTAAAAATAGTAATATCTATGATGTTCGGTCGTTTATTTTGGTGTTGTATTGTTGATGTATTCGTAAAAGCTTCTCGTTCGTCTTTCAACGTCAAAAGGCTTTCAACGTCAAAAAGCTTTCAACGTCTTTCTTTTCCTTTTCATTTCATCAACAACACTATACAACACTATTTGGACAACAAGAAAAGCACTGACTCATCTAACTCCACAACTAACAGTAACGATATACAGCAACCTGACAATAAACGTTATTTCAAACTACCTTACATAGGTGATTACTCACGACACACACAACGCAAACTCACACAAATCATTAAACGCTACTGCACTGACATTGACGTTAAACTTATTTTCACACCTTTTAAAATAAAATCTTTATTTTCGTTTAAAGACCCACTTCCCGAACTTTCCAAATCTATGGTAGTTTATCAATTTTCATGTGCGGGATGTAATTCCCGTTATATTGGTGAAACTTCTCGCCAATTATCTACCAGGATAAAGGAACATACTCACACAGACAAAAACTCCACTATCTACAAACATCTTCAAGCCTCTCCTTCATGTAAAAACAAATTCTCACCTTCCTGTTTTAAAATCATCGACACTGATCAATCCACTTTCTCACTCAAAATCAAGGAAGCTCTACACATTAATAAAACTAATCCCGATTTAAATATCCAAGTTCACCACTGCAACACTATATTTACTTTATAATAATATTTTTTGTTATAAGTTCTTAATACTTATTTTTCTTTTCCTTTTTTGTAAATATTTTATAATTTGTAACTAAATCATAATCCTATTCATTGTAATTAATTTATTCATATCATATTACGTATCATATTACTTAACACTAACCATTCTGCACTGAAGATGGCATTCTGATAATGTCGAAACATGTTTGCTTTCAAAAAAATCGTCGTTTTTCTCAAGTGTTTTTTAAAATTGCTGCTAATAAGAAATTATGGTAATTTTATGTGAAAATCTTCCACCGCTCGGCGTAAATGTTTTTTTCCTTAACGAATGAAATATGCAATGATTTCATCGTCTATGAACGATAACTTTTAACGTAAATAATCTAGTTTCGTAGTTTCGTACTGCGTATGTATGAAATGACTTTACATTTTTCTTGCCGGTGTCCGAAGCTTAATCTGTGAGTCTGCAAATCTACACCTTTACTTCAAATATCGAAAACTTTTACTAAAAATGTATCAAAAAATGCTTTTTTTCGAATCACCAAATTTCGTGTTTCTATCCACTTTTCTATAACATGGATGAATGTACAGTATTGCAAAGAATATTGCTACTTTCACATTTTGAAGACTGGAAAAAGGATATCTTTTCTATGTCAATATTTACTTGTTGAACTGAGTCTCGAGAATTCGAGAATGACTGCACGGAATAATAAAAGAAGAATTTAAGATCTGTTTCCGCTTGCCATTGCTATTGGTTTATCTGTTTTTCAAACTTTAATGGTCGTTAATTAGAGAGAATTATTTCAAGATATTTTTTCGAGAGGTAAGTTGTTAACACAATTTTGTTTAAGATTCTGTAGAAAATAATGAAAATTGCCCTGTATATTACACCGGCTGAAAATGGTGGTTACATCCTAGATGTTTGGCAATTGCTACTAACTCTATAATTACCGTTATCGTAACTTCGTAGAAGCACTATTGTTAAAGCACATTTGATAAAAACGACATGGCATCATGAGATGTTAAAAACGACATGGCAAAGAGATGTTGAAACATGCTTATTTTAAAAAAACTTGTCGTATTAATTACCGTTATCATTTCAATTGATTTCCTTTTTCTACAAACATTATCAATGTTTCAATTCAAGCTTCGTCTTCTTAAATTCGATGCGAAGGATGGAAAAGAGTCTGCTTAAGGAGGCATATACAGTAAAACTTTTACTAAAATTATGAGAGAAAATACTTTGGACGAAATTGACAGTGGTGCAAACAAGGGTGAAGTTTAATATAACGTAAAAATAGACAAAGTTCTTATTTTAGGCTTGGAAGATCATGGGTCTGTTGAAGAGAGTAAAGTTCACAATAGAAACATGTTACAAATGTCTCATGAAACCCTTCAAAATGCTGGTGTATCAGCGAATCAAACTCGTGATGCTAAAAAGAGTCGTGTGGACGACGTGATTCGTGTTTCCCACGAGAATCGTGGATTTAATGTGGAACGAGTTGCTAATGAGTATCGTGTTGTTGAAGAATGGAAGTCTTCAGAGTTTCATGAAAACAGAAAAAAGGAAAGTGGTAACTTCAATGCGGATGATAAATATAGAGAATATGTGAAGTTAAAAGCCAATGCTCCACTACGTACAGAGAGGTTTCAGCCAATCAACTTCTCTTCTAAGGAGGCAGTTGCAATGACGTCACGTGATATGAAGTCACATGACAACATTTCAAGAAACATTATGCCCAGTGATTCATTAAGAAATTTTACCAACATGGGTTACAGTCAATATGGCGATGATGTGTCTAGTGTTCATCATCAACAACCTGTTGTTGTTGTGAGAACATTTGATCATCCAGGAAAGTAGTACTCTTACAGGTCAGTTGTACTACTGCAGGTCAGCAATACTATTATAGGTCAGTTGTACTACCACAGAGCAGTTATACAGGTTGGTTGCAGTACAAGGCACTGACTTGAAGTCAACTGCACATGGAATCTTACTCTGGCATTTATCAAACAACGAATGGCTTACTATGCTTCGTTTCATCAAATACACACGTTGTCCTTTCTTTTGGTAATTAAAGTTTCTAAAGTTTCTATTGTTCTTTATAGATAAAGGAGATCATTACCAAGAAACTACCCAAGACTGAACTGCAAAGCATCTTTTAACTCTTCAACTACTCCCAGACAAAAATCTTTACCATCTGCCTGGACAATAAACCTTACAAATTCGCCGTCTAGATATGAAAATTATGAAGAAATGAAAGTTCGCGAAACTGAAAGTAATGGTTTTTCTAATGGTAAAAGCTACATAGTTGAAAACCGTCCAAAAATGCTAAAACCTCGACTTATTAGAAGACTTCGATCGCAACTCATCTGACATTCGGATGCGTCAGAAGTAGATTATAGATCGTGTCTTGTTTTTAAAGACCAAATTAAGAATCAAAATTTTCAAGCGATTTCTTCCGACAAAAAGTGGGAAGAGAAATCACATGACCCGGATATCATGCCCATTGTCAGTGCTAGTGAATTTTCTGAATTATTACCCACTACTCCACGACCAAGCGACAGCCAATCAGATATCTCTATGGATAGACATTTCCGTGGAAGTTGTAAATCATTTCAAAAAGAACTTGAAAGAAACGTTAAAGAAAACAGGGAGGTTGTTGTTGAAGAGAGAAGTCAATCAGATCAAGAAAAACATAATGAACAAACTTTAGAGGTATTTATATGTAAAATAAAGTAAATGTATTTGATTTTTTTGCTAATCCTTGCACTGCTATGGGTCTACTCTATTTACTTAACTTAAGTTTCAAGAATCTTCACATCATTGTTTTATATTGTCTACAGTCAAACAAGATTTTCTATTTTTTATAAACAGCGTTTGCGAAATGGCGAAACGCGTGAGATGAATGGAAACGAAAGTAGAAAAAACGTCTGTTCATTTAATAAAGAGACGAGAAGTTCATCGTGGACTCATAAAGACAGCGGTTTTAGAAAGAAACATTATGTGTCAATAAATGGTGTTCAAGTCCTACCACCAGAACCAGTTTTTATTCAGTTTGAAAGTAGCGATGTGGAGAAAGAAAATTGAAGTTGAATGATTTATTAACAAGCCATTTTCGACTTATAAATGGTTCACTTTATATGGTGAATTTACTATCTATGTAATAACTTTCTTTTTATTTTTCATACATTTGAAGGACATTTAAATCCACAAATTATTCATTCTCCCCCCTCCCCCCATGTAGAACATATAGCATTTGTTTCAAAAAAATGTACTTCCTACTGTTATTTTGAAATTTCTACATTGTTAAAATAATCTTTTTTATGACGACATAGCAAACAAGGCGTTATTGTTGATGTTTCTTACCTGACGGAAAACGTTATAGAAACACACTTGTTGAAATACCTATTGGAGACTGTGATTGGAGATCAGTGGTTTATTTGTAAGTTTACCAGACTTTGTTCTATTGTATTCTTTACATGATTAAAGGCTGATATTCCTTAAAAATACTTGAGTTTGTGATTTCTTTTAGGGTGTATATATTAACAACGTTAAGAAAATTATATTGCGTCAGACGTTAATTTTCATTGCCGAAAGTTTGTGTGTGTAACTTATTTATAACTCCCTGTACAAATACTCCGATTTAGTATAGAAGTAAAGATTTTCTACCCATCACGCAAAAAACTTAAAGTTTGTAGGCAGTAACTATACGGACTCAAACAATTCTATAGCATTAGAGTGTTTTTTTTTTTGCTGCGTTTTTAATTACAATTAAACTTTCATACATACAGAATCTCGACAGTGTTATATTCAACATTTTCACGATGCTTTAGCTTTGTTAGCGTGTATACTTTCTCTTCTTCATGACAATTTTATGAACTACATTGGCGGAAGTGGACACGTAAGCAAATTGTATTATGAGAGATATAATTCTTGAGAAAACTGTTCTATGTGTTGTCTAAATTATATTTTTCATTTATGATATATATATAAATCATTTTGCATTGATACTTTAGATATTGTCATTCGTGAACATTTTCATGAAGGGATTTAACTAGAAACGATTGCTTGTCTTCGATTAGCTCATCGTACAACTGAAAATGTCGGAAATGTCTTGTCCTATGTCAGATACTTCTGTATATGAGACATCATTCTGCGTATCAAACATTATCTGGATTTTCCACCATTTGAAATAAATTAGTCCCTTCAAGTTTGCATTCATTACCTATATTCGGGAGAGCGCATAGTTTCAGTCTAATCTATGTTTTAAAGAGTAGCTATATTCCTATAGTCTTTGTGAACGTTAAGTAAATTACAACTATTGCAAATATTGAAGATTATCGATGATCGACTTCATATATACGTTAATGTTTGAAAAACGAAAGAAATAAAAGTTACCGGTTCACTAAAATGACTTGTTCTTTCGCAGTCGGATATGAATGCAATATGAATACGATATGAATGATATATGTTTTTATTAATTATCTTTTCTTTTATAACAAAGAAATGTATTGCAACGCCGCTTTCAACACATTTTACACTGTCTTAAAGCTTTTTTTTGAGCTAAATTGATTTAATCTTTATCTTTAACATCTGCATTCTTCAAAAATTATTATTTTCCTATCCAAGTAAAAACAAGTTTCTTTTACTGCTGGGATAATGACGATATTGAAAATCATATTTATCGTTCAAATGATCATGACGTTTTTAAATTGTCGTTAAGTTTCGATTGTTTTCATAAAGTTGGTAAGTCTTTGAACACGCATGGTTTGTTGAAATTGTTGTTAAGTGTGTGTTGTTTTTATACATTTACAGGAAAATTTTGCTATCTAAAGTTGGCAATTTTTAAACTAGCATGGTTTATTGAAAAAACAAAGACTGACATCAGTGGCGTAGCTAGACTAAAACAACTAGTCGTGCTGTTGTGATTGTAAACATGAATTACTAAAATGATTGGTGCTAACATAAGTCGGTGGTGCCATTATAGTTGATGCACTCCGAGAAATTTTAAAATTGATCACATCTGAATTCTTAAAATCATTTTTTCATTTCAAATCAAATCAAATCAAATCATTAATTTATTTCAGCTAAATATTTTTTTTAAATAGCTGTTTCGCTCAATGTCAGGGCTCATCAGCATGCCTAGGAATTACCAATGCCATTTACATCATAGATCAATGACAAATGGTTAACTTGGGAATCCGGCATGGACAGTCATGTAAAAAGCTGAATGAGCAATCTGGTTTTCAGGCGCCAGAAACTCGCCTTTCACACCTTTGCAAGAAAACAAAGGAGTTCGGTTAGACAAGGGAGACTTTTTGGAACATTTCATGGAGATACAGTTGCTCAATTTTGCATCTTATTCCAGTCGTTTCTAACCCTTTAGGAATATATAATTTGGTCGTGCCGGCCTGAGTGAGCACGACTAAAAACGGGCGAAAGACGTTGCTTGTGCTTTTAGAGCATTGATTAAGGCAGGCATCGGGTTAAAACACAAGTATAGTGTGTGCAATATGATGTATGTGATGAATAACCGACTGTTTTTTGTGTTTCCTCTAATGTACTTGCTTATGTCTCACACCAAAGGTATTTTCGAAAGCATTTGCGTGTAAAATTTAAAGTAAGCCCTTTCAAAACTCCTCCAATCTCCCCCACCAAGGGTCGCCAGGTCACTATATCTTGCTATGATCTTTTCAAATTGAGAATATTTATGTAGGTATGAGGACTTGCAAAAAAAGTCATTCTTGTTGTTTTGATGCTTGCAGTGAGACGGTAGTAAAAACGGTGAAGAAGTCAATAGTGTTGAATTACCTGAAGACCGAAGAATTTTTTGTAAGTTTTGCAGACTTAGTTGTATTGTACTCTCATCAATAGTCAATATTTAAAACCGGAACGTAAGGTTGAATTTTGCGAATTTTTTCATTCATTAGGAAATTCATTGTGGCAGAAGTTAAATTTGATCACATAAAGCCTGTCTTTCTTCCTTATTTATTTGTCTATTTTCCGAGTACAAATCTTCAGATTATATTTTTAACAGGATAATTCTTTGCAACTCACCGGAATCAAAGTAAAAATTATTTAGGCAATACTAATTCAAACTTAAACCATTTCATAATAATTGGTGTATTTTTTGTACAGTTTTTATTCTCTAGTCAAGATGCAGATTTTCGATTTCGAAAAAACAAGGCAATAACATTTGTTAACGTGTATTCATGACAAAAGTGGTATGATATACGTGGCAGGAAAAGCACACGCAAGCAAATTTTCTTATGAAACAGAATATGCTTGGGAATGATTTCAATACTTAGAGTTATAGACTGATAAGTTTATTTCATAAAGGTGAAGCACCTTATTGATTAGAATTAGAAGAATCAACATTTTGAGATAGTTTATCATTAACCAATTATCTATGCTGCATTACTGCAATCTCGAATGGATTAAATGCAACTTTTATCAAATGAATATCTTTTGAAGCTTCCAAAGATTCAATCATGCGCTTTTTCCGTATACTATCTAACTAAGGTGCCAACGGATTATAAGAATTTGATTCTTGGTGCGTCTTGTGATTCTCTTTTGACACAGACTCATCGCGCTGTAGACCTGAACTTTGGGGTTTATAATAAGTTTGTCATGTAAGTTGCAATTTACAATGCCTTGTGACGTGTGGGTACCTCCCTATTTGGAAACTACATACGAATTAAGATTGGACTGCACCGAGGGCTTTGTACTACGAGACATTTTAAAAGTTTTTGATCCTGGTCAACCTCATATACTTCTATATTAAAAAAATTGGCGCCTTTATTTTGTTGTTTGGTTTTCTTTCCTGGAAAAATCATTATTTACTACAAATTCATCAATAAAACGCTGAGATTTTATCAAAGCACGTTTCGGTATTGACGCATCTTTGTTTATGCATGCGCAATTTTGCTCAAATATATATTAAACACGAGTTGGAGCAAATGCCCCAATTTATATATATTAATCTACGACTATGTGCAACTATATGCAAGACAGGTATTCGACATAGTTTGATGGTTCTGATCTGATGAGAACAAAAATGGTAAAGAAATCAAAATTTAAGACACCGTTAACTCAAACATCGTCACATTGATTGTAAATTTTCCAGACTTTGTTGTATTGTTTTCTTCTTCGCGTGTTTCAACATCTGTGTATAAAAATTCTAGGAAAAAAGATACTCAAAAGAAATCAGACGGAAAGTTTTTAATGGATCATTTTATTCAATTTCAAGTTGTCGCATCTTGCGTTGTCTTCATATGATAAATAATGTATTGTAGCTTTAAGAAGACTTAGGTATTGTCTTGACGCGTGACTTTCGTGACTGTGGGAGAGGGGGTTTGCAACGTGCAATTACCGACAAACACGTGGCTGGTATATATATATCTTGATGAATACTTTGCATGACGTTACAAAAGTAAGTTGTTCCAGACTTTTCGAGCGACTGACAAGCTTCATAAAAAGGAGCATTTTTCCAACTTTAAACAGCCTTAAAATTGGAGCGTTTTGAGAAACTTAAAAACTTTTTTACTAATGTGGTGGAAATCACCCCTAGATTCAATGTTGCTGAAATGGGCACTTGAACGAATTAATTAACTTACGAAACTTATCGGGGTGAAATGTTAAAACATTCATTATTTACGAGAATTTATTTACCTTCAATTTGCAAAATTGCACTTTCTTTAACCTATTGGTATATAATACCCTACACACACTATACATCCATGTTAGTCAGATCTCTCATTTGCTTGCTCTAAACTTTTATAAATGAATCTCCTTTATTGTAATTTCGAAACTAAAGAGTGGACTAAATAAAGCTTATAATTTTACCTTATATAGTTAAACAGTTTAACTATGATGTTTGGCGCATAACAATAAGTACAATAAAGAAAAGTTTGCTGTTCACATGAAGAACATTGGAGAACTTAGATAAATTTTTGCGTGACTACTAGAAGAGATCTAGCTTTCCGGTTCCAGCAGTCATGGAGATCTTGGAAGAAGGGAATTTTTCTATGAATAATGGCGATTATGATACGGCTATTGAACATTACAATAGTTGTGTAGAAGTTTCAGACGAGAAAAGCATCAAATTGATGGCATATTTTGGTCTTGGTAATGCTTACACACTCTCTGATAATGGGGAGGAAGCAACAAACTGCTTTAATGATTGTTTGAATCTTTCTTCTGAACTAGAAATTAAATATTTTAAGCATGAAATATACCTCGGGTTGGGGAGTATCCATTCTACCACTAAAAGATTGGAGGACGGTATAAAGAAAGAAGAAATGGTCTGTCTCTGTCATGTTGCATTGGGAGGATTGAATAAGTTACTTGAAAATTATGAAAAATCCTTGGAGCATTATAGGAAAGGATTCTCTCTGATTGAAAGTCAAGAGCTAGAAGACGAAATGCTACGCTTACAGCACGAAGACAGTTAACAAAAACATAATCGAATGCAGCGACAAAAAAAGGTCAGAAAAGGTGGTATTAACGTTAGTAAAGATTTTGTCAACTGTAACATGAAGAACTTGTCAATTGTTACTTCAGCTGGAATTGTGAATGGAGTGTTAGCTGTTTATTGGGAATTAGCTGAATTGTTTGATAAACTTGAAGAACAGAGGGATGCAATAGATGTTTATGAAATATATCTTCATATCGTCAACAATGATAAAGATATAGCAAAACAAAAGAACGCTATGGAACGTCTGATACGATTATATGAGGAGGAAGGACGTGATTTGCAAAGGGATTTGATGAAAGAGAAGTTACATGAAGTTAACATAGTTATAGGTACAAAATGCAAATAAATTCAACTTGATTAAGATGCAAAGTTTTTTTTCTAATTGAGTAACATTATAAGTTTTGGGTTAAGAACTTGACAATCCTTCATTTAAAATTTTTTCAGCGCTTATGCAAATTTTGAAAAAAATTATTCGTCATTCTTTGAAAAAATCTCTTTTTGTTTCTTTTTATTGAACATAAAAATATTACTACAGCTAGAGTAAAAACTCGGCAGGGTTTGTATCTGTATTTTTCTAATCTGTAGTCATATTGCATTATATTCATTAATTTTTTGTTATCAAATTTCCTCTCTAACACTCTTGCTGGAACTGTTTGTTTGAACAGGTGGTTTATGATGTAGTGGTTGCTTTTAGTAGTTTTAACAAACTGTACAGTCGCTATTCAATTTCTCATTGTAACAGTTTATCTTTAACTACATTTATGTATTTTATTATCCCCATTCATTTCTAAATTTAATTTTTTCCCTTCAATTGCAGAATTGCAACTACAAGAATGGAAATATAATGATCCATCAAAAAAACACAAAGAATTATTTTTTAAAATGATTGAGTATGGGCGTAATCCTAATGTAAAAGTTGAACTTTTAAACGATGTTCGAGTAATATTCTCAGATGAATTTTGCATTGGCAAAGGAAGTGATGGAACCCGTGTTTATCTTGGACTGGGAAACAATGGTTATGGAAAAGCAGTAAAGCGAATACACAAAGATAGCGGCAAAGACTTTGCAAATCGAGAAAGAGAAATTTTGAATGTGTTGAATGCAAAGCGCTCAAATTATGTTGTGAATTTTTGCCATTTAGAAGAGAACCTTGACGAAGACTATTTGTACGTGATATTGGATTTGTGTGAAGAATCGTTAGAGGATTATGTGAAATCTTCTTCTTTGCAAGATCTTCAAAAAATCGTTCCTAAAGTTCTTATTCAGATCTTAAATGGTCTGGTTCACCTTCACAGCGGTCAGCGTCCTATTCTTCATCGGGATCTAAGACCTCCAAACGTTCTTCGAGATGTACAAGGAAATTTTTTAATCGCTGACTTTGGTATAAGTCATATGTTATCTGATGAAACTTCGACACATCAGAGCATACAAAGAGGAGCTAAAAATTGGATAGCTCCAGAGTCATATAACGCATCAGATAATACATTTAATAAAGTTCGTTACAAAAAAGAGTCTGACATTATGGTAAGTTCTTGAAGTAGAACTAGAGGTCCAACCACAGCTCAATGTTTGATTTGCATTTAATTAGATATTGGTATTTGGTAGTGATAATGATTTTACCTCAATTTTTTGCTGTACCTTGATTGTATCGTCATATAGTGTCAACCTTAAATAAAAATAAAATAAATTTTTGTTAATCGTGTTACAGTTACAATTGTATGTTCCTTATTTAGATTGCGTTTAATACATATATATGGCTACAATTCTATTTGGAGAACATTTTGTAGATTTTTTTAAGCTGCAAATTTATTGTTGAGTTCTGCAAATCGTAAATAAATTTAATCTTTAAGATTTTAGTATCCACCACTTACTGTCTATGACAATTTTTTATTGAAAATAGAACGCTGGAATGGTGGCTTACTATGTTGCAACAAAGGGAAAACATCCTTTTGGACATGAACGGCATAGACTTGACAACATTTTGAGTGGAAACCCAGTTGGATTGGACGAAATCAAGGATGCCACGTTCAAAGACCTTTTATCGTGGATGCTACAGTTAATACCTGAAGATAGGCCATCTGCCGATAAGGCGTTAAAGCACCCTTATCTACAATCAGATGAAGAAAAATTTAACATGCTGTGTGATATGGGGAATAAAATGGAGGTGAAACATTCACAAGGTCAAAATTCTCCTACTTCAGACGTTCATACGCAGTTGCATGGTTCCACAGAATGGATGAAGCGTATCCATGATGAAGTCGTCGAGGATTTGATCAACTTTGAAGTAAACAACAGTATAAGAACTCTAAAGTACAAGTCTACATGGGCAGGATGCTTAAGATTTATACGAAGCGTTGACCAACATTGGCAAAATAAGCCTCGTCCGCATCTATCACATTATGTGAAGCAAGGCAATTATAAAGAGTATTTCCTACAAGTTTTCCCAGAGCTTCCTCTTCTGGTGCACAAAGTCATAAGGTCGACTGGCTGGAAATCCCCTCCAGATCTGGAAGAACACTTTGCTAGTAAGTTAACCATTCAAATATTTTTTTTTCGTCAATGATGTAGCTAATCAATCTCTAAAATCTCTAAGTATAAAAAATGCAACCTAGTCAGTCAGTTATTCCGGTTATACAGTCGAAGTGTAAATTTTCTGCATTTGATTTGACGCGATATGTTTGTTTATCAGTGCATCAAAGATTGTCATGAACAAGCTAACCATTTTAAAAATTTTATCTCCAGCATCCAATTTGACGGTATCAAATGGTGGTTAAAACGCAAATATATTTTTAACATATACTAATATTGATATGGAGATAAACAGTGAGTGTTTGCAGGGACGGCGAAGCAACATTATGAAGTGTGGGGCTAAGTCTTCAATTCTACTATGGCGTCTTAAAATACCCCTCTAAAGAGCGACCTCAACTCAGTCTAAATATATTTTTTGCAAAAAGTTGAGGCTTCAGCTCTCCCCCCCCCCCTGCTGGTAACGTTAGTGCAAAGCTTATGATTAACTGTAAGGATTTTTACAGTTAGAAAAAGTACGACCCTCACACTCCAAAAGTGTTTATCTTGTTGATAAAGTTTTGAATGTTCCAATATCAGCAATGTACATGGCTATGAATAATGAACATTTACTAAGAAATTTGTCCCCACAGGGGCAATACTTTCTAGTAAATATAGTCCCACTTCAGAAATTTGGCCCCCTTTACAAACTTTAACATCCATTTCAAAAATGGTGCAATTTTTTTCAAAATCAGATCACAGGCGATCTAACATAACACAAGTTATGTAGATCTATACATTTAGTTACATAATATCAAACTAATCAGAATAACTAACGCACTTTAGTGATGACGTCATGTGAAGATTCACGCGTCCAATAAAGTGCGAGTAAAAAGCAAATCAAAGACTTAAATGACTTACACATTTCATACACACATTCTGCAAACGCATCCCCGCTGTGTAAAACCTTGTTCTCATTTATGCGTTTTCTGTTAAAAACTCATACTTTTTGATGCTTTTTGGCCATCCCTCCACACTGAAACGCTCAAAAAGGAACACGCTGCCAAATGAAAACGTATAGATTTGAAAACGCTCTCAAAAATGGAGTGATTTGAAAATGCGTGCGTTTTGTTTTGTTGTGGACAGTCAAAAAACGGAGCCTTTTGAGAACGATGACGTCAATGACTACTTTTTCTGGCATTTTTAAAATTCAATACAAATTTGGTGAGCCTGAGTGACGTGCTTTTAAGGTTGTATATTTGTTTAATCCCTATTTTGGAAGTTAATATTTTGATTTCCTAGCTTTTATTGATAACTTATAAAAGGAGAATTTTGACTCTTCGAACATTGGTTTTTCCAGTGACTCACACAACCACTATCGAATAAATAAGCCATATGAAAGATAGCCAGGAGGAAATTGGGTTTGTCCAGGAAAACAAGCGCGTGGTTGAATAACTTTGTATCTGAAATTATGAATTACTCGCCTTGGAAGATATATTTAATGGCGCAAGATGTCACGAAAACTGTGGGCGCTTTATGTATAAGCATGCGCAGTTAGTTATTTAACACACTTTTAATTCGGTAATAACTTTTAATTTCGAAAACGCATTAGTGTGGACAGATGCAGATAACACAAAAAATCTGTCAATGTTGCAAAAGGTTTCATAAAATAACTTTTAAACTCGTAGAAATTTGATTTTAGTAAACACTTAACTATTTCCGAGCTTTTAAAAACGTAAATTACTACTTTTTGTGCGCTTGTAGACTTTGTTAAGAAGTGATTGAGTTATTTAAGCCTTTATGCTTTTTAATTTGTGGAATGATTTTCATGAGTCACTACTTTAGTTATACTCACTCTTTACTCCACGCTTGAATATTAACAAGTTCGCCAACGCATGATAACCGACATTGCTGAAGTGCGATAGTTTTTCTGATTTGTTTCTTATTAAATATATCGATCCACATAATTTGTAACATCTCAAATTGCCTTTGATTTTAGTTTTGGAAAAAAATTGCACCATATTTCTGATAAAACAAGAATGCAATGTAACCATTGAGATTTGTTTATATCTTCCTTATTCACATACTTTTGTTAACGGTCAAAAACGTGGCATGTAATGAAGACTGAAATAACTCAGCAAGTAATCCTTTTATCTTGCTATGATGCATTAACCGTGTAATGTAATGCATTAATTTCCAGCTTCTTACGAAAAGATATCTTTGCCCTCTTCCATGAGTGACAACGACTATGACGACATTGACAAAACTCCTTCAGCAGTACTTGGTAAGAAATTGTATTTTGTTAGCAAACATTTGCATAAAAATCTTTACATTCCCTTTAAAAGTCAAACACAAACAATTAAGAGTCGTTTATATTATGCGTATCATTCATACGTTTGTAAAGGGTCAGATAAGAGAGTTTTAGAATTTGTCATCATACTATAATGTTATTTAATTGCATTGCAAGAAATTAATTTGATTTATCTATTACATGATAATAACAGTGAAGTCATCATTGGTGTTTTGCCTTATGTACACATTTATAATACTACATGAATGCCAACTTAGAAAATTCTTACAAACATTTTGGAATATCTGAAAGTTGTCTTATAGGTAATTATCATTCTATCATCATGTCTATTATCATTTACAAACGTCTCAATTCCTTTTGGATATTTATTTTTCTGATTATCAATTGAAAACATGTAAAATTTGCATGACCAATCCGATTATCATTTGTTATTATTGGTGACTAAATTACTTTGATTTTAGGCTGGAGTAAAACTATAACTAATGTGAATTAAATGTAGAAAGTATTAAAGGGAAAACGTACTATAGTAAAAAGTAAAAGTATTCGAAGGCATAACCAAATACCTATAGTTAACATAATTTTTTGTAGATCCTTTATTGATTTGCTAAAAATACGCTCAGATTTTTCCTAATAAGACCATCTTACACAGCAGTCACGACGAAATCAGTATGATCAAGTTTGTTTACAAAATATATGACACTTTGTCGTAAACAAACAACCATTTTCAGATCCCAAAAATCTGTTAAAAAGTTAAGTAGCTAGAAGGAACTTTCTTTTTCTGTGGTGTTTGATATGGAAAAATGTGTTCCTAGTAAGTTACAGCCATAGAAATAATTCTTCAGTTTTGACGATATTGCTAAATTTTATGCATTTTCCCTTGGTAACGTCGGAACATAATAGGGTTTTTTAATTGTTTGCAAAAGTAATTTTTTTTCGGGAATCGTAAAAATACTCTCTTTCCCTATAAATTCTTTGCATTGTTTGTCCGGAGCACTTGTAGCACTTCTGTTTCTTCGGTTCAAAAAATGCAAAGTATAGCATATGCGGGCGAGAAATCTGTTTAAGTTTTTTTACGCAATAGATTTATGTAAATGGTAAATCCATTCCTTGATTCATGTGTAATTTTGTCACGCACGTGATCTCGCGTGGCTTTTGCGTATGTAATATGAGTCAAAAGTATATAACTGTTAAAGGTTATGACTATACATACTTGAAGTCACACGTAATCTTGCGCGTGGCAAACATTTCACATGAATATAACATCCAGTTTAAGTAATAAATGAAGACGAACGATCAAAAAACGAAAAGCTTGATTCAACGTATGAGAAGGAAAACATATTTCTAGCTATACTTATACACAAAAGAAGTTTTGGCTGACTCTAACTTTTGATGACTTTCTGAAAACTGTGCTCTAACTATTGCGATTACGAAAAATGATCTCAAGTATCAAGTTTAGATCTATCAACGATCCATTTTTAATCAAGCTGCTGCCGCACGCTCTTATAACTTTGCCTTGATAAGAAACTACCCATTATGATGTCAGATAAGAAAACATTACTCAAATTGTTCACCAAATGAATATCTTCACAAGTAAAAATTTAGTGCACACACACTAAAAGGCAAACCAGTTTAGCGATGGTTGATTCGCCTCCATGATGATTGCTTTTTCGAGCAGTGGCGTAAAACAGCTAACTCGTTGTGTATTGGGCGTGCTATACTCTGCATTGAGCTGGCTATACTTTGCATCGGGCTTGTATACTGTATTCTATAGAAGTAATAAAGCTGGTTTTATTCGTTTTTGTTTAAAAAACCAACAACGCATTAAATCTTATCGAGCGGTTTCATTGCACTGTTGAACTATTAAGTTTAAATTTTTCTCTAACTCTCCAAAATTGTCAATGTGTAAACATAAAAACGAAATACTTTCAAGCGTCATGTGGTTTTCTGAGAAATATTATGAATACCATCAATATTTTTGCTTTCATTTTCGAATAGGCGTAAACGAATCAAACGAAAGCACTTCGTCACAAAAGTATTTGGTCCTTGATACAGGTACAACCCAGGCTAATAAAGAAGATAATGCTATCAATCCATTTACAGTATATGGTAAAAAAAACATTGTTTATTTATGTGTGCTAATTCGTATTGAAATATCTCACTTTACTGGCCCCAAAGACCCATCCCTTTGTATGTCTTTGTACACTGATTACTGTTGCTGAAATATTGTAGAGCTGGCCCTATGAGTTTGTGTACCCTCAGTGTTCAATCAATTAGTGTTTAAACGATTATTTAGAAACTTACTTCACTGCTGTGTAGATATGTATGTTTTATGGTGAAAATAAACATAAAGTTAACATTCTGTTTCATAGTAATTTTGCTTCTTTTAATGAAGAGTGTGGGGCACTACCCTTATTTTAGGAAACTGAGAGGGACTTAGCTCATTGCTCCCTTGCTTTCAATACCCCTAAAATGGCTCCTATCTTCAATGGTTACATATAATTCATTTATGAGCGTCATGCTTGCGCTTTCAAGCAAACTTCAACTAATTTTAAGGAGACTCTTTACCAGAGGAGTCTTTTAGCCCTGATATAAATACAGCCTTCTTTTACTTCTGCTCAATATCAACTATTTGTTAAAACTGATCAACATTTTTCACGTTTTATATCATTTTATAAACAATATATTGCTCTGTGAGAGATTTTGACAAAATGAGTATTGCAATTATTATCATCACAAACAATCTCAATCTTTCTCTTTAGGCAAGGAGCGAGGTGTCAATAATGGAGAAACAACACGTAATAAAGAAGAGACAAAATCTATAAAGAATACAAATGTCTTAAAAGAAGAAACAACATTTAATAAAGAAGAGAAAACATGTGTAGACATGGAAACTGATGCCAAGAATGAAGACAAGACACCCAAAGAAAAAGAGAAAAAATCTGCAGGCAAGGAGACAAATGTCATAAAAGTAGAAACAACATTTAATGAAGAAGAGAAAAAATGTGTAGACATGGATACAGATGCCAAAAAGAAGAAAAGACACCAAAAGAAAATAAGAAAAAATCTGCAGGCAAGAAGGAAAATGTCAAAATAGAGAAACAACATCTAATAAAGAAGAGGATGATATAAAATAACTGGAATTAGAACAACATAAAAAGAAGAAAAATGTAGACAAGGAAAAGAAAAAAGAAGAGAAACTAAAAGAAAATAAGAAAACATCTGCAGGCAAGAAGGAAATGCTCGTACGAGAAACAACATCTAATAAAGAAGAGGAAAAATATGTAGACATGAATACGGGGGCCAAAAAGGAAGAAGAGACACCAAAAGAAAATAAGAAAAAATCTGCAGGCAAGAAAGAAAATGTAAAAAAAAAAGAAACAACATCTAATAAAGAAGAGGAAAAATGTGTAGACATGGATACGGGAGCCAAAAAGGAAGAAGAGACACCAAAAGAAAATAAGAAAAAATCCTATATAAGAAAGAAATCGTAAAAAAAGAAAACAAATTATCCATCAAAGAAGAGGAAAAATGTGTAGACATGGATACGGGAGCCAAAAAGGAAGAAGAGACACCAAAAGAAAATAAGAAAAAATCTGCAGGCAAAAAGGAAAATGTCAAAAAAGAAAAAACAACATCTTATAAAGAAGAGGAAAAATGTGTAGACATGGATACGGGAGCCAAAAAGGAAGAAGAGACACCAAAAGAAAATAAGAAAATATCTGCAGTCAAGAAGGAAATTGTCAAAAATAAAGAAACAACATCTAATAAAGAAGAGGAAAAATGTGTAGACATGGATACGGGAGCCAAAAAGGAAGAAGAGACACCAAAAGAAAATAAGAAAATATCTGCAGGCAAGAAGGAAAATGTCAAAAATAGAGAAACAACATCTAATAAAGAAGAGGAAAAATATGTAGACATGAATATTTAAATAAAAAAGGAAGAAGAGAACCAAAAGAAATAAGAAAAATCCGGCAAGAAAGAAAATGTAAAAAGAAACAAGATCTAATAAAGAAGAGGAAAAGGTAGACATTTGGATTGGAGCTCAAAAGAAGAAGGAATTAAAAGAAATAAGAAAATCTGAAGAAGAAATGAAAAGAAAATGAATATCTGAATAAAGAAGAGGAAATGGATAAGGAAGGAAGAAAAGAAAATAAAGAAATGAGAAAGGAAAATAGACATGGATGGATGGAAGAAGAGGCAAAGAAAATAAGAAATATTCAGAAATAAGGAATGAATGGAAGAAGAAATGGAAGAAGGATAAGAAGGAAATGGAAGAAATGAAGAGGAATGGATGGAAGAAGAAAATTGTATGCAAGAAGGAAATGTCAAAACAGAGAAACAACATCCAATAAAGAAGAGGAAAAATATGGATTCGGGATTATTTAAATAAAAAGGAAGAGACAACCAAAAGAAAACAAGAAAAATCTGACAGGCAAAGAAGGAAAACAAAAAAAAAAGAAACAACATCCAGAAAGAAGAGGAAAATGTGTAGACATGGATGGAGCCAAAAGGAAGAGACACCAAAAGAAAATAAGAAAACTATAGCAAGAAGGAAAATGTCAAAAGAAGAAACAACATCTAATAAAGAGAAAATGTGTAGACATGGATGGGACAAAAGAAGAAGAGACCAAAGAAAATAAGAAAATATTCAGTGCAAGAAATGTCAAAAATAGAGAAACAACATCTAATAAAGAAGAGGAAAATGGACATGGATAAATAAAAAGGAAGAAGAGACACCAAAAGAAAATAAAAAATCTGCAGGCAATAAGAAAAATGTCAAAAAAGAAGAAACAACATCTAATGAAGAAGAGAAAAAATGTGTAGACATGGATACTGATGCCAAAAATGAAGACAAGACACCCAAAGAAAAAGAGAAAAAATCTGCAGGCAAGGAGACAAATATCATAAAAGAAGAAACAACATCTACTGATAAGGAGAAAAAAAGTGTAGACATGGATACAGATGGCAAAAGGAAGGAAAGAAATCCAAAAAAAATAATAAAAAATCTGCAGGCAAGGAGACAAATTTAAAAAATGAAAAAAAGACGTTTAATGAAGAAGAGAAAAAATGTGTAGACATGGATACAGATGTCAAAAAGGAAGAAAAGGCTTCCAAAGAAAAAGAGAAAGCACCCGCATGCAAGGAGGCAAATGTCAAAAATGAAAAAAAGACATTTAACAAAGAGAAAAATAATTCTGCTGGCAAGAAGAAACAATTCAAAGAAAAAGAAAAGACTTCTACCTGGCAACAAAAAAAGTCAGACTTCGAAAATATGAGTGTGGAAGAAAAACGTGTTCACTATCGCTGTGGACGAGACTATGTCATTCTGAAATCAATTTCTTCCTGGCCTGATTATGTTGAAGAAAAATACCCCAAATTTGTAAAAAAAGGTGCATCTCAATTTCACATCATTAAGAAGAAAGACTTGCCGTTGTTGTGATTTTTGTTTCGTAATTGTTTTTTAACATTTTATGCACTTTTTTATTTGTATTATTTATTTATTTTATTCCTTTTAAATAATGTAGAGTCTGTCACTGAAGATGATGTTTTAAACAAGGTTTCTTTGTGGAGAGGTGATATCACACGTTTAGAAATTGATGCGATCGTCAATGCAGGTAAAATTCTGAAAAATAGTTGCTTAGTTTATTTTGTGACAAGTTCTCAGGCCAAGATAAGGACATATTTGTGTAAATAATTGTTGCCAGTAGCGTAGACAGTCTGCAAGTTTTAGTCCAGCTACGTTAATCTACCAGCTGCTGTTGTATTTGAGGTTTGAGTCTATGCTAAGATTTTTCATGTTAAATCTCTGTAAATATTACGACAGAAGTGTTTTTAATGATAACATGGATAACCCATTGAACTTTCCCTTCTAATTTCAGCCCACACCAGATTGCTGAGTGGTGGTGGAGGTATGGATGACAGTTATTGCTTATGAATTTTGAAATTAGATTTTTTGAAATAGATTTGGAGACATTATGTTAAGGATCACACTCAGGTCGCAAATTGTTTAAGAAAAAATAATGTGCAATTTTTTTCAAGAAAAACACGACACGTTAGTTGCGTTGGCATCCGGCAAGTTTTGGTCCCTGCTATGCAATTTTCAGAACATTATCATTATTCATTTTATTTGATACCTATTGTTTTCTCAGTGAGTAAAGGTAGAAAAGTTTGTGTAGTACGACTAAAATAAGCTCACGCTTCAACTGATCACAAAATATGATGTTTTAGAATACCAGGTCAAAACATGCTTCTTAACAGTGTGTTAATTGCACGTTGTCATTTCAAATTATGATTAGATTTCACTTTATTTTGACAGCATCAACCTGTCACGTAAGGCAATCTATGGCCTATTGAGCTTTTATTTTTCTACAAACGATCCTGTTGTCGACAATTGCTGTTCCTTGCTGATCTTCTTTGCCACCGACTTAACGTTACTGTCTGTTTCCTTTCTTATCGCATCTTACTATTTGATATTGCTTTTTTGCGCTTTACAAAAAAAATTTTCAGATAAAAATTTTCGAATAAAATTGTTCAGATAAAATTTACCAATTAATTTGTTTTCAAATATATCCAATCTTTTGGTTTTTGTAGTTGGTTTCATGTTTGTTTTTGCCTTCTTTAAACTTAAAAAGTTATAACCTCAACAGCTTAAGCTAAAAAATTTTCCAAAACCTTTATAAGGTATAGCTAAATTTTTGTGAAGCGATTTGCTGAAGCGTTCATTCTGCTTTGTTGATTTTCTTCATATAAGTTTTGTGTTTGTTCACTAGAAAGCGCGTTCAAAAAATACGCGGGAGATCCTAAAATTCTTAAATCTTTGTCTTTAGTTGATGGCTGTATACACCGTGCTGCAGGAAAGTGTCTTTATGAAGAATGTTACACGCTAAACGGGTGTGAAACTGGCAATGCTAAAATTACTTCAGGTACCATATTATTATATGCCAATAACTGTCTAAGTCTTGATGTATAAGTCCGTTATCCGAAAATGTGGTTGATTGTACATATTAATTGTACCTAAGACAATGAGACGACGCTTATTGCTAAGGAATTGAATTTCACATGTTGTCCTTAAATTAATTCTTTTATCTTTAAATCGTCGATTTTTCTTTCTTCTACAGGTTACAAACTTCCTGCAAAATGTAAGTTTATGAATTTTTTTATGGCAAAGAAAATACGAGGCTCAAATCTCGTTTTCTCGTGAAGTACTTTCACAATTTAGTTACTTTGTACTCAACGCTTTGTATTTCACGTGTGACGTTAAACTGTGACGTAACATCAACCATAGTAAATTCGACTCATTTCATGGTGGTCGGAAGTCAATTGCATCGTGTATGCAAGTCTTTTGAATGCATTGAACATGATTTAGTATGACCATATCTTGTGATTACGAGCAATCAAGGAAACCTTTCAATCGTTTATTCAATTTATTATTTCAGATGTCATTCATACCGTCGGTCCCATGGAAGAGAATAAATTGCTGTTGAAAAGTTGTTATGAGTCCTGTCTTAGCATAGTAAAGGAAAAAAAATTGGAGTCTGTCGTATGTGTTGATGAAATCTTTCACATTTCTTTTGTATTTGTTAATATTGTGTAAATCTGGACTGAAGAAAGGTTTTTATATGGATTGGGTTGTTACGGGTGAAAACAAACGTCGACCTTTTATCTATTCATAAGCAGTTATAACAATTCTCAGACAGTTTGATTTCTTTTTAGGCGTTCTGCTGCATTTCAACAGAAATATATGGTGCGCTTTTTGATCTGTTTCTTTGTTTTATAATTTACGGATTTTTGACCTGACGATTTTTACACCAATCTACAGGTTATCCAATTGAGAATGCTACAGATGTCGCTTTGATGACAGTCAAAGATTGGTTAGAAAATAACAAAAGCTGGGTATGATATGCGACCATTTTAAACAGAATAGTTTAACTTCCTTTCCGGTTGTATTGTTGACTGTTGAGTACTGTTTTATAAATTAACTATAGCTTTAATATGTCTACTACAGGGCCCTAATGAGAATCTCTCTGGCAAATGTTGGACTTCCTAAATAAATATTTATTATTTTATTAAGGAATAGTTACCATTTCTTAAAAATTGTAATGCGGGTATGATGGGTATCTGCGGACAAGTTACCGCACTTCGTTGTTTTAAAGTTTTCTGTAGTCCGAATTTCAATTTTTCTAAACAATTCTCTTCATGAGGAAATTAAAATAGTACGTTGTAGAAACACTGTTTGTTGTTCCTTTGTTTAGGCAGGTCGGATCATCTTCTGTGTATTTTCAAAAGATGAGTTGCATGTATATGAAAAGAAAATGTTCAAGTACTTTCCATTGACGAAAAAAACCAATGAACAAATGAATGTTGATAATGATGGTAGTAGAGCTGAAATGGATACCGGAAGTAAATCAAATGATAAAGATGAAACTAGACGTCCTACACTAATCAATAAAATAGAAACCAGTGAAGCATTGACGAATGAGTTATCCATGGTCAAAGGAAAAACTTGTGAGACAAATATTTTAAAAGAAAAAGGAAACAAACGACTAGTATCAGGTGATCCAAGGGAAACCTCCACCAAAAAATATTTGCGAACATTTAAAGAAACAGATGAAAAAAGTGAGCTCACTAACGAAAATCCTTTAGAAAAAGAAGATGGACGTCAACATAACAATATGGATATGACCTCTGGGCAGGAATTTACCAACAAGAATTCTCCGGAAGAAGGACATGGAGGTGAATCTGTTGTTACGGAAGCGGCGTCTGTGAAGATGACGGATGCGTGGTGCGTATTTCGACTAATAACGAACTCTTCATTATGAATTGAATTATTGAAATCAAAAGTGCATGAATTAATCATATTTTAGTGAGCATCTTCATGTTAACACTCATACACATGACTTTTTCATTTTAATATCCTGGGACCTGTTTCATGAAACATAGTTATCCATTAAATACGAAAGCATCTTTGCCCCTTTGAAGAAAAATATCATCAAATATAATTGATAATTTAAATTCTCATAATGCAATATGACGTCACTGGTTGAACACAAAAGGGGCATTTTAAATACAACAAAAACGTCAATATCTTAAGAATGACAAGTAATATTCATAAACTGCTTTATAAAGTCTACAAGTCCTGTTTCATTAGACTACAATTTCGTAAGTAAAATTTTCTCTGCCTAAGCACTTTACGAAACAAACTTCAAACGTTATATATGGAATTTTCCCTTCTTTTTGATAAACTAGCAAACTGAAATGAGTACGTCAAGTTAATGATCAAAAGTAGGTAGACTTATTTATTTTGAGTTGTTGTACCTTGAACTATAGGCAGTGGTGTTGCTAGCCAGTCAAATTTGGTTGTGTCACGTGAATTTCAAGTAGTAATGCATATTTTTTTTCGTTAGAAATCTGTTGTGTTTACAGTGAGGAAAACGAAATATTTAAATTACGCGACCAAACTTGCAGGCTGGCTAGAGGAAATTGCAATCAATTGCGCTGACTGTGAAAACGAGCAACGCGGCTGTGACTTCTGAGAGACGTAATCCAGTCTGGAAAACGTACCATGGCCACGCTTTGACCCATTTCACTTTGGAATAGACACCAAACACTCCTACAGCCGAGTAAAGAATTAGGGAGGACGTAAAGAGATTGGCTGCGCTTGAGAAATAAATGAGCGAAAAATAGACACGATCGCCTCTCGTCTTTCTTCGGAAAAATGGAGGAATATTGGCGGGAACATTCAACAAGGGTTATAAATGTTTATGATGTACTTGTAATTTTCTTGAAACAGTTTTTGCTTTGTAAAAGAAGTGATGGAAACCGTGTTTATGTTAGTGATGCTTATGACAATTATAGAGCAGATGAGGTTTATAGAAGGATTGTCAAATATGGGCCTTTGTGGACAGAATGGGTCAGATTTATTCGAAATGTTTGCCAGCATTGGTACGGTCGACCAATGCTGCAACAAGAATTATTTAAAAAGATTGGCGATCCGAAGGAGTATTTTCTTAAAACTTTCCCCAGTCTCCCTGTTCGTGTGAAAGCTGAGGACGAAATAAAAAATAAATCACCAGTCAAAAAATTTTTTAATTTAAATGACACGAATGAATAAGAAATGCTATTTTTGTTTCTACAACCGTTGCAGGTTTGTCATATACGAAATTTTACAATGACTTACCCTTCAAAATTAGTTTATCGTGCATCAACAATTCAGTGTAGTATATAGTTATCGATTAAATATTTGACTTTTTGGTATTAGTTACGTTAGAATTATTTTGATAGCAAGATACATGCAGCCGTCCCGTTTATATAGCGACCACGCAGATAAAACAAAAGTTCAAGTCGAATACGTGTGATAAAAATTAATGCCCAACATAAAGTTCTGATTAGAGCCATAGAAATAGACCAAAGAAAAAACAAATTGTAAAATTTAAATTTATTGTGACGTTTCGTCTTTACTCAAGACATCTTCAGACAAATAATAAATAGGACGTTAAGACAAGGTATTATATTTACAAAATTAAATTACTACTACTCGAATGGATACATGATAAGGAAGTTTGGAAGTGAAATGAAGAGAAATTAAAAGAGGTTAAGTAAAATGGAGTTTCCTTGCACATTAAGTGAAGGCTTGTGTTTATTGATTAGAAGGCTTTCATGGATGTAGAGTTCATAAGTATCGTTGGAAGAGGAGATTATTTTAAAGTCGTCTAAGTTGGGGGTGTGTCCAGTTGCGTTAATGTGAGCAAGAATGCTTGATGATGCAGGGTGGGAAACTTGGACCTTTGCCCCTAAACCACCTGTCTTGACTGCTCACAAAATGCCCATCTATTTCTGTCTTCCTTTCACCGGCATACACTCCCTTCAAATTCGCACACAAATCAATAACCTTTGTGCTGCAGCCTTCCCACATATATCCATTAAATTTTTTCCGCCCTTTCAACGTATCTCTTCTTTCTTCCCTTGGGACAAAATTCCCAAACCTCTGAGATCTGGTGTAGTCTATTTATTCAAGTGTCGAGCTGCAACGCTTCGTATGTGGTCAAACCACACGTCATTCACACCAAATTTTCGGAGCACGGAATATCCCCTACAGGCAACCAAGTTTCCCACCCTGCATCATTAAGCATTCTTGCTCACATTAACGCAACTGGACACACCCCCATCTTAGACGACTTTAAAATAATCTCCTCTTCCAACGATACTTATGAACTCTCCATCCATGAAAGCCTTCTAATCAATAAACACAAGCCTTCACTTAATGTGCAAGGAAACTCCATTCCACTTAACCTCTTTTAATTTCTCTTCATCTCACCTCCAAACTTCCTTATCATGTATCCATTCGACACCGCTTCCGTTAGTAGTAATTTAACACCTTTTTGTAAATATAATATCTTGTCTTAACGTCCTATCTATTATTTTGTCTGAAGATGTCTTGAGTAAAGACGAAACGTCACAATAAATTTAAATTTTACAATTTGTTTTTTCTTTGGTCTATTTCTATGGCTCTAATCAGAACTTTATGTTGGGCATTAATTTTTATCACACGTATTCGATTTCCGCTCGGCAAGTCTCTCGCTACAATTTCAAGTCGAATGATTTCGGAAGGAACTATTTTTCACTCTGCTTAACTTTATGGAGTGAATTTATGATAGACCTATGCATTTTGATAATTTACCATCAATTTTTTTGTTCCTCAAATATATTTTTGGTTGATGTTCAAAACATTTATAAAATTATTCAATGTCTCCCTCTCACTTAAAATACTAATATAAATAGTATACTAATATAAAACATAGCATTTATTCCATAAAATGTAGTTCCTGCTGTGTTCTTTAGAAATGCTCACATGTTTAAAATATTATGTATGTATTTGATGAAATACAAAGCAAGTACTTTTTGTTTTATTCATTTCTAGTCAGACGCACCAAAAACTGGCAAAGAATTCAATCTTGTTGCAACACTTAAAGAACGAATATTTCGTAAATTTTAAAGACTTAGTTGTGTTGTGTTCTTTTGAAAGTTAAACACTGATATGCATTAAAATACAATGTTAAATTTTTGAATTCTTTCGTTGCATACAATAACAATGTTATGTTAAGAAATTGCATTGCGTCAGAAGTTAAATTTCATCGCTAGGAGCATGCCTTTTTACCTTGTTGGTTTGTTTCTCACTTTTCTGTGTATACAAATCCTTAGATTATATTTCTAGCAGTGCAGGTTTTGAACACGACACGGTAAAAGTTATATCTTGACGATATGGTATGCCAGGTATACGATATACTTGGCGAGAAGTGCCCACGCAAGCAAATTTTCTTATGAAAAAGAATATCCTGGGAAATATAAGCACTCCTCAGAATTGCAACAAAAGGGGAGCATGCTTTTGGAACTGAAAAGAATAGACTAAAAAACTTGTTAGGTGGAAACCCTGCTGGATTGATGGAAATCGATGATGTTGTACTTAAAGATCTTCTTTCATGGATACTGCAACATACAACCGAAGACAGACTATCTGCCAAAAAAGCGTTAAAACATCCATATCTGCAATCTGCTGAAGAGAACTTTAATATGTTGTGTGATGTGGTGAATCAACTGGAGATGGAGATAAGTGATCCTCTCAACTCAGATGTCCATAAGCAGTTAAATGATCCAGAAAATTGGATGGACCGTATCAACGGAGAAATTTTTAACAATTTTAATGACTTTGACCCTACATGGTTAGGCTGCTTAAAATTTTTACAAAACGTTCGCGAGCAGTGGCAAGATGAACATCATCCACAACTGCCGCCAAGTGAGGGCAACTATAAAAAGTATTTCCTGCAAGTTTTGCCGGAGCTTCCTCTTCTGGTGCACAGAATCATAAGGTATATCTAAGCGAAATCCACTCTAGATCTGGAAGAACAATTTGCTAGTAAGTTAACCATTAAAATATTTCTTTTTCGTCAATGATGTAGCTAATCCATCTCTAAAATGTCTAAGTGTAAAAAATGCAACCTAGTCAGTCAGTTATTCCGGTTATATAATCGAAGTGTAAATTTTCTGTGTTTGATTTGTCGCGTTATGTTTGTTCATTGGTGCATCAAAGATTGTCATGAACAAGCTAACCATTTTAAAAATTTATCTCCAGCATCCCCTTTGCCGGTATGAAATGGTTAAAACGCAAATATATTTTTAAAATATACTAATATTGATATGGAGATAAACATGGAGTAAGTGTTTGCAGGGACGGCGAAGCAACATTATGAAGTGCTGGGCTAAGTCTTCAATTCTACTCTGGCGTCTTAAAAAATTCCTCTAAACAGCGACTTTAGCTCAGTCTAAATATTTTTTTTGCAAAAAGGTTTAGCTCTCCCAGCCCCCCAGGCTGTTAACGTTAGTGCAAAGCTTATGATTAACTGTAAGGATTTTTAAAGTTAGACAAAGTATGACCCTCACATTTATATGTTAATATGAAATATTCATTCGATAATTCTATTTTCTTGGTATTCATGATTTTGGTTCACCACGTCATCTATCCCATCCGAAATTTTATGAAAGATATCGTTTCGTCTTTATCAAGACATCTTCAGACAAATAATAAATAGGACGTTAAGACAAGGTATTATTTAAAAGGTGTTAAATTACTATAAAGAAGAAGGGTGTCGAATGGATACATGATAAGGAAGTTTGGAGTGAATGAAGAGAAGAGGTTGTGAATGGAGCTTCGCACATTAAGTGAAGGCTTCAGGTTGATTGAAGCTTTCATGGATGGAGAGTCCGTCGTATCGTTGGAAGAGGAGATTATTTTAAAGTCGTCTAAGTTGTGTGTGTCCAGTTGCGTTAATGTGAGCAAGAATGCTTGATGACGGCGGAAAACCTACCTGTAAGGGGATATTCTGCGTCCAGTACCCGTAGATGACGGTTTGACCCAATACGTACGAAGCGTTGCTCGACACTTGAATAAATAGACTACACTCGATCTCAGAGGCTTGGGAATTTTGTCCCGGGAAGAAAAAGAGATACGTTGAAGCGGCGAAACAAATTTAATGGATATAACAACCACCACTACTTCAACGGACCACTGCAACAGAATTTGAAAACTCTCTAGCTGTTAAGAACTGTCACTTTATCTTTAACGGGAAAATGTATCAGCAAATTGATGGTGGCTATGGGCAGTCCATGGGCCCTCTTTGCTGATATATTCATGTCCTTTCACGAAAAATCCTGGCTCAATAATTGTCCTTCTTCATTCAAACCACTGCTACCGACGCTACGTTGACGACTGTTTTTACTTTTTCATTCCTGCGATCACGTCCTCTTTCTTGACTACCTGAACCGACAACACCTAACATATTCACATCTGAAGTGAACAAACAGAAAGCTCTCATTTCTTGACATTGATATCTCTCGTACTAATAGAAAATTCACCACTTCCGTCTACCGCAAACCTACTTTCACTGGCCTCTTCACCAACTTCCACAGCTTCATCCCACTTACTTACAAACTTTCATTAGTCTCCTGCTTACTTCACCGCATCTTCAATCTTTGCTCTACTTACGAAAATTTTCATACACAACTCGAATTTACCAGAAAATCACTCACCAAAAACGGTTTTCCTTCACGTATAATTGACCAAATCACACGTCGCTTCCTTAACAACACCTTTGCCCCTAAACCACCTGTCTTGACTGCTCACAAAATGCCCATCTACTTCTGTCTTCCTTTCACCGGCATACACTCCCTTCAAATTCGCACACAAATCAATGTGCTGCACAACCTTTGTGCTGCAGCCTTCCCACATATATCCATTAAATTTGTTTTCCGCCCTTCTCAACGTATCTCTTCTTTCTTCCCCTTTAAGGACAAAATTCCCAAGCCTCTGAGATCTGGTGTAGTCTATTTATTCAAGTGTCAAAGCTGCAACGCTTCGTATGTGGGTCAAACCACACGTCATCTACACACCAGATTTTCGGAGCACTTGGGAATATCCCCCCTATACAGGCAACCAAGTTTCCCACCCTGCATCATCAAGCATTCTTGCTCACATTAACGCAACTGGACACACCCCCAACTTAGACGACTTTAAAATAATCTCCTCTTCCAACGATACTTATGAACTCTCCATCCATGAAAGCCTTCTAATCAATAAACACAAGCCTTCACTTAATGTGCAAGGAAACTCCATTCCACTTAGCCTCTTTTAATTTCTCTTCATTTCACTTCCAAACTTCCTTATCATGTATCCATTCGACACCGCTTCCTTTAGTAGTAATTTAACACCTTTTTGTAAATATAATATCTTGTCTTAACGTCCTATCTATTATTTTGTCTGAAGATGTCTTGAGTAAAGACGAAACGTCACAATAAATTTAAATTTTACAATTTGTTTTTTCTTTGGTCTATTTCTATGGCTCTAATCAGAACTTTATGTTGGGCATTGATTTTTATCACACGTATTCGATTTCCGCTCGGCAAGTCTCTCGCTACAATGATATTTATGGTTGTTTAAGGCAGTCTATATCCAATGAATTATAAATTGCAGGTATATTATAAGTGTGATTGTGAACTTTTCTTTCATTGTTGCAGGTTGCTCCGAGCTAAATGAAGGTTGGTATACTCATGCTATATACTTATTATCAATGCTTATAAATATTCCAAAAATAACAACTAGTTATCTAAGGAGAAAGACAAAATGCTCCCTTCAAGAAAGAAAAATTTTAAAGAAAATTCATGTGATGATCATCCTTTGTTTATAGAATTTTTTTTAATGCATAAAACACTTTTTTACCGGTAAAGTGTCGTAAATTGACGACTGTTGATGAGCGCTTCGAGTACCGGTGTCAATTCAAAAAAAAAACGTTGCATACATGTGTAGAAATACTGTGTAGTCGGTTTCCTGTTGCGCATGTAATCCACTGCTCGTCAGTGGATACTATTTTCTAAATAACATTTTGATAGGACTATACATTGCCGACAGTTCTCTTAGACTGCAATTGACGTACCTATGTTGAATCTGTCGAATCTTTAAATGTACAACGCACAAAGCAAATGTCATTGTATTCATGATCTGTATAGCCAGACTTCCATCGTATGTTTAAATTCATTGTCATTATTAATCATTTAAACAAAAGTCATATTGATTTTCATTGAAGTAGATTTGAGTGTAGATGTGTACGTTTATGTTGGATGTCTGCAAAATGTTTTTTGTATCTGTAACTACGTCTAATTTATTTATTGTTTTAATTAAGTTTTATCACTTTAACACAATTATTGCAATCGTGACCTTCAAACACCGTTTTACGTTATTCGTTTTTAATATGGTTATGTACTTATACGTTGCTTGAAAGTGATGCATGAAGCATGAAAACGGTGCAAAACAAAAAGCATACAAATATTAATATTCATAAATGCGCAAAAGCACTTCCTATCAAGGCATTTAGCTAACATCTCGGATGTTTCGTACTTTCGGTTTGACTTCATGATGTTAATTGTTTCTTCCAAACATTCACAATACAATTTGCTTCATGCTAATCTTGACGGTATACGCACTTTACTACAGACACCATGAGATATTAAATGGTTTGTCTCGTTCCTTAAGCCATGCGTATTTAAAAAGCTCAGTTCCGTTTCAGGCATGACGTCATAATTGCAGATATCGAGAATTATCAGCATGTAGTTGACCAATCACAGCAGAGAATGCCCACAAAGTGAATTATAATAGCTATTATTATATGGCAAGCGTCGCTTCCGGCAAAATGGCGTGCTTTGATTGACTCAGAAACATTTTTGCCAGTCCCCATTATTTTCCCGTAATCGACCATGGTCGAAAACGCGTAATTTTACTGTCGAATGTAAACAAAGTTTGTAATGCAAACAGCCAAAGGCAAAATAAACAAAAAAAAAACATTCACAAATGTGATTCGAAGGAAAAACACTTGGAAAACAGTTAAACTATCCAGAGGATACAATTTGAAACGATTTATTTTTTATGAGCGAAAACTAGGAAAGTGAAAATCAACCCGTAAAAACAGCAAGGACGAGAAAGAGAGCAAGCTTCGTTTCATGTCAAATAATGCCATATAATAATCCTTTCAATAAACTCGCTTTCTCGGTCTTTACTGAGAAATATCGGACCTCTGCCTTTTTGTGCAAACATCGCCCTACGAGTTCGGTCTGTACAAAAAGACATCGGTCCGTTATTTCTCCGTAATACCTCGAGCTCGTTTACTAAGGGCTTAATAATGCGCATGATTGGTAGATGATTTTGTCATTATTGTATGACAACCAATCATGTTGCAAATTTAGCGTCGCGCGCGGAAAATTCCGCCTGGTTAAAAAAAGGCTTTAGATTTATTTGTGATAGAACGGTTGTGGTTGACGATTGTGCTTTTAATATTGGGCGATTTGTGCTGTTAAGATTGTATAAAGATTTAAAGAGGGTGGTTAAATACTTTTCTAACATACAAAGAAATTGTTTGTAACGTTGGTTGTTACATTCTTACTATAAGGTTAAGTTAAACCACTGATTCAATTTAAATTTGAATATTCAGTGAAATCATCTACATGATGATTAGTACATAAGTTCACTGATTAACAGAGCCATAGTTTTATTATTTTAATTTAACTGAAAATCATCAATAGGTGTGAAACACTGGGTAGTAAATCATATCAAGTATTGTTTGAATATGTAATTCAAAGTTATATATGTATAAATATGTATAATTTTGAATTACATTTAAACAATATACTTGATACAAAAAACAGACGTACGTATTTCTCATGTTATTTTTTGTAGTAAACGATGAAAGAAGTTTGGGTGAACTTCCAAAAACAGGTGGATAAGTCTTTTCAATATATATTTACATGATGCTGATTTTTGATGATTCAAGTAAACTACGAAATCTCATTTATCTTTTTGTTTTCCGTAATTATGTATTTAATGGAGTAGACCAGTCTTCATCTTCTAATACAAAGGGTAACGCATATTGTTGACAGTCATTGATGAAATTTCATAACTCTGCTATTTACTTTTGTATTTTGTCTGATTTATCTTTAGGAAAGAAAATGCAAATACCATTTATAAGACAGCTTTTCATTCGAAGAACTAAACCCAAAGGAAAAGGTAATCCTGCGCATGTTATCTACATGAGAATTAGCAGATTTTTCAAAAAAGAATTGTTAAAGAAATCTTTGGAGCAAGCTGTCAAAAGAGCACGAGGAATATCATTTTTAAGATAGAATACCTGCGTCACTCACAGATTTATCTTTAGGAAAGAGGACGACGAAAACATTACCCAGATTGCATTACGTGGAAGAAGGTAAACATGTACATGCTGATATTTCATCATTCTGTGAACTCACGTTAACTGGCTTTTCAGAATCACAACTTCCAATTAGGAAATCTATCACCAGTTCTTCGTCATTGTGTCAAAAAAGTGGCGGGAGAGGTAATGAAGAGTGAAATAGCTCACTAAACAACACCTTAACCGTAATGCTAAGTTTTGTAATAAACATTCATTTTGTGATGTAATGTTTTATAATTGTATTTTCCAGCTGCTTTAGAAAAGCTTTATTCGACATATCAATCCGATGTTAATGTCAGAAATGGTATTAATTCAAAAAATGGTAAGTAATAAAATTTTGTTAACAAACATTTACTCAAATATCTATACATTGCCATTTTGAACGCTCAATTCCAACAAGACTGCATTGCAACTTATAATTATTGTTTCGAGAGATACGTAACTACTGATTTTTGTGTAATAAATGACTGCAGTTAATCTTTTAATCAACCGGAAGTGCAAACCAGGCTTTGATACTTACACATTTTTTATAATACTCTATGTACAGTTTTGTCTACTGCGGACATCTTTTTTTTAAATCAAAACGTTGTCATTGCTTTCAAATGTTTTGTTTGATATAATTTCGTTTACTTGTTTGTGAATAGTTTTAGATTCTCGAAGATTATCAATCAATCAATTAAACTGTGGGATTTATCGCGAGCTATGTAGTAAACTAAACGATGAGTTGTATCGCATGGATTGGAAAACACTAGCTGGAAAAATGAATTTCACAGCTGGTGAGGTTAGAGACTTCTCAAGAGAACCGAATCCTGCTGATGTGTTGCTTCAACACTGGAAGACGACAAGCATTAACCACGATGTTCCTGCTTTGATCAAATTGTTGAAGGAAATGGAGATAAACGATCTAGTGGATTTACTGGAATCAAACCAAGATGATTATCAGTAATTTAAAATATCAGTCATCGTTTGTTACACCACGTAAATATTACTTACATGAACAATTTTTATCATTGTTTAGGAATACTTTTACCAGCATTGCAACATTGCTTAAGGGTCAAAAAGATGAGAGCAGATGACACGCGTAATATCATTTACCATTTGAACATTTACCAGGTAGAATTCGATTAGAATGATAATAGGAAAATAAAAATAGACAAATTCTCGGTATCGCTAGTATCGAATGGACAAAGATCTTTTTCTTGTTATTTTAAATAGTTATGCAATTAAGTGTGTCATTGACACGCGTAATATCACATTTTTCAATGAATTCTTGCATTTTAGATGAACGGACTATTCTAAATTCTAATACTGTATATCTTACATGCCAACATCCTTAAGGTTTTTTTCTTCTCATTAGGTGCTGCATGGTAGCGCCTTGTCTGATTCGGTTGTCCAAATTTAGAATCTCCTGTGTTTTTTAAATCTAGTCGACTGCAATCAATGGTTAATCACAAACATTAAACAGTTATACTATAAAACGTTCCATTTGCTGTGATTACAATAAGCGGATTGTGTTTTGATTTATGCTTTTAAATTTCTTGGTAGAGATTTGTACGGAAAAAAGTAACTTCCAATTACGTTCACATTGACAAAGACCCCATTGCCTTACTGAGTTTAAGGTGTCCCTGATTGTGATAGCTTCATCATAATTGGTTAAAGTAAACCATTGCACTTAATTTGTTTTAAATCAAGTTTATAAAGATGAAACTTGACGATAGTAGTCTTTTCTATACCTTGTTATAGCTACCTTGTTGCTGTGACAAATTTTTTGTGATTTTGTTGTTTTGTTGGGTAATAATAATTTTTAGAATCTGTGAATAATAAGCTTTCCCCTAAGATGTAGCTACTTTGCTACTATTATGATAAATATTTTGTTTCGACAATAAAAAAAACACCCTTATTTGGCGTGCATCAAATGATTATCGTAGATTTTTGACGATTAACTTCATACAGTTGGATGTTTTAAAACATTGATACAAGTAACGTTTAACAAGGATGAGTACAATTTCTGAAAATTTTCTTCCTGCGTATGTTTCATTTTTATAAATTTTTATCTATGTTAAGGCTAATAATCACGGAAAGTTGCTTTGTTGACGTACGGCGTTGAAGGTTATGATGTTATATGTAATTTAAACGCCTTAATGATTGAATATTAAAACTGTGCAAGCATTCTATTTTAATCTTTTCATTTCAACGAGTGAGAAAGATGAAGATTTGATAAATATATATTTATGATTGCAGAATTTCCTAAGTTCGATATTCACCTTGGATAATACAGAATTTATAGAGTTGCCTTCAACGAATGAAAAGTTACTTCATGGATGGCGGTAAGTTATATACAATCAAATTTATGCGAGACCCTCGTAAATTGTGTGTAAGCTATACATGCAAATATATGGATATATTTACCAACATTTTATCGTAGAACATACATGTTCTTTATTGATCTTTTTATCTCGATAATCGTCGTCTAGAGATTTTATGTCTAGAGAAGTTATACTAACAAATTTTTGTATAAGGCACTTATAAATTGTATCTTCCATACGTAGTGATATACTTTCTAACATTCAACAAATACTCCTTGATTATGCTTTCCTTGTTATCGCGTCATCTCAGAATATTTTACGTCTCCTTGCCCCCAATATTTTTAAGCATTTTCGATTCAAAATCCCTTCATGAGATTGTTTGTGTAAGATAATAATAATATCCATAATAAATTTTAAAATAGCTTAAGAAGCATTGTGCTTCTTAACTGGACGATTTTCCAAAGCTATAGTTTACAAAGTTTAGGTGTTGAACAACACAAAATAAGTCAGTTTTAAGTTAATGTCGTCATCAAAGAAGAGTTTTTGACAATTCAAATGAACCTTCGGCATACAAGTTTTAGGCACCGCGGAGGATAGATAATTGGGGGCTCATATTCATATATTCATGTTTTAATCCTTAAAAAACAATGGATTTCAAAAGATCATATATGAATATATGAATATTAGCCCCCATTATTGATCCTCCGCCGTTCCTGTTTATTATATGTTCCTTGTCATTTTGAGCAAAAACGCGACAAAGTGTTGGATATGAATAGATCAAAATATTGTATCATTCTGATTACAAATTGTATTACAATGCGAAATAATATTGGTCAATTTTGGTGAATCTCAGCAGAAATAGATCCGTCCGCCATTTTTTCTGTTCCGTTCCGCCGTTCAGTGGTTTTATTTGTTTGAATTTTGTTTCCTGAAATAAATTTAGAGGAGTTTGTAAAGATGGGTTCTGGCGGCGCCCATATGCCTTCTCGTAGAGGTGTCTCCCCTTAAATCATTCGTGGGGTATTCCCCCCTGGCTGTACCCCTGCCACAACGCCAATGGTTCGTGTTTCATAGATATACATAGGATTGATACATAGGCGTAGGAACAGATTTAAATTTTGGGGTGGAGTTAATGTCGACGAGTATAGTATTTACTCCACCTTTATTTTTTGAAGCTTTAGGGAGTCTAGTACAAACATTGAAAATGGAGAAAGTCATGAAACCTTTATAATTTAGTTGTACTTCATTGCAATACACAAAGTGCAAGTATTGTTCAAGAATCAATACATTTCACAAGACGAACGAATTTAACTAATAGCCTAAGCGATTGATCGTACTATTTGCAAGCTACGAATTCTAGTTCAATGTCAGACTAAGATGTATTCACTCTCTGAAGAGTTAAAAATAGACCTTTGTTGTATACATTAAATCGGTACAAAGAAGTTTGTGAGCTTTACTACACATACAAGGACTTACGTTTTCATGATGTCGCTTATCGTGCTAATTCAAGTGATATCCATAATTCGCATTTGATCTTATCATAAATTTTGCTCGTTTGCGGTCTTTACTAAATCTGACAGTATTGATGTTGTTTTCCTGTTTAAGTCAATTTCTACTTCGTTTTTGAACTTTCTGTAGTCTGTGTGATAGGTAAATAAAATAAAACCCCTATATGCACCTATCACAAGTTCAATATTTGCATAAGATCTAACTTTATTTGTCAAACCTGAGCTCCAGTTCATATCAAATACTGCTATCCGCGTGCAACACTGCATACTCTTTTTTAAGAAGGCATCGATCGCTGCCGTTCTGACAGTAAAACCTAGTCTCGCTCAAAGATTTTATGGTAGATTAAAGTGAGCCACTTCAGCCATTAGTCAACCTAAAGGACAAGAATGAGCTACACAATATAGAATTGGCTCTAGTAACTGCATTCAGATGTCGAGTCATATAGGTATTTGCTTGTTTATGACTGTTCAAGTCAGGAGAAGGTTGCCGCGAATAAGGATGTACACAGTATTTTATCAAAAGTTCCCAAAAACGTGT